TCCCCTCCTTCCCCGCCTCTGAATTTTCAGGGGTTTTTTTGTACACTTGGTTTTCAGACTTTATTAAGAAAATGTGCAGGGAAAGGACATGAGTTAGTGTTAGATGATAATCTCTTCTTAATTAGGTTATCATAAACTAGAACCAGTCTTACCTAAAACTTGATTCAACAAACACTTGAAAAGTGTGAAAACTAGTGAGCAAAGCATGCTGCTGGACTTCTGTACTTCAGTGTGCAGTGCTGTTCTGGATGAAAGAGCAAGGCTCTAACTGAAAAATTTCTAAGCACAGTCAATATTTTAAACCGAGTGGAAAATTGAATTACAACATGACTGCAATCAAGCACTGGATGCAAAATTCCACAGTATGAAAATATTAGAACAATATTCATTAAGACTGGGTTTATGTTTTATTGAGGATTTTGGAGCACAATCTTGCCCTAAACTGCACACTTTAAACAATGTCAGTGTGTAGTCAGTAACTCTGCCAGTAGCAGTTTATAGGTTAATGCCCACAGATAGATTCTAGTTTAAACTGTAACCATATAATATAAAAACACCCATCTGCCGCTGCCTAGCGTGAAGGAGCCATGGTTTTCCTAATATAAACAAGCAAGTATCCGTGCTCATCTTGCCACCTATCGAACATTGCATACCTCACAGGGTTGGGAAATTTTTAAAGTTTTCATAACATTCTTCAAATTAAAACATCTACTCATATGAGATTATATATTATGTATTTCCTACTGGCACCAGAACCTACAGCTGGATGTAGCAGAGGAACATCAAAGGTTTGTTGGTACACTTGGCTGTACGGTCAAACTCTTGTGTTCCAGAAACATCTTTAAAAAGTTGTGCTCTGTCGTGTCAAGAATTGGTCTCTCTTGTTTGACAGTGGCTATCAGCAGGGATTGGGGAAAAGCTTAAGAATTGCTTACAAGTATAAAGGAAGACTCCTTACTAAGTCCAACAGTCTCCTAGTTGTCTGCTGTTTCAGATGGCCTGGAGCTGGATGCACCTGTACTACTGTGTTTAATAGCTGTGGATAGTATCTCTTCATCCAGGTGCCTGCTAATTGTTGTCTTGATAGTCCAGGTTTCCTACTGTCATGAGGGATAATTAATAATTATTTTGTTTGCTTGATCCAATATAATTCACATTTGGGTAGATTGAAGCAGATATTATAAAATTCTCTATAAGTTGTGGAGCCATATGGCCTATTCAGTGTTTGTTGGTTGTCCTGTTGTCTGCCTCTGTATCTTTTCATGTTACAATACATTTTCCTGAAATGTGATGATCAAACTGAATAAGAATATTTAAGAAGGAATACAATGTGGTGTGCGAAGGTACAATATAACAGCACAATTGCATTTTCTATTTAGTTGTCTATCCCCTTCCCCAGAGTTGCTGATATTCTTTTTTACTTTTTGAATGGCTTGGTTTCCTTTTTTAACGTGAGAGCACTGAGTCAGTGTTTTCAGAGAACTGTCACGTTGCAGTATTATTAGGACTGCAGGATTCAAACACATAGAAGGTAAGCATGCCAGAATTAAGATTTGCTGTGCAATTTTATTTAGACCTCTTGTGTAACCATCTTTTCTGATACTTCATTTGATTAAATTATGAGAATTTCTTTTAACAAAGGACATCTGCCTCGTTCAATTCACACAGTGGATGGAGCTCACTAAAGAAGAACTATTTAATATTTTATTTTCCTCTTCATTACTCCATCCCTTATTTACTGAATGGCATTCAAATCCTGCTGTAAAGATGCAATTATTCATTCCCCTCTAAGCTTTTCAGTGATGCCTATTACTATGGTTTCTGAATGCCTCACGAGTATTAGTGAAACTTAATGTTCAAAACTCTTGTGTGAGAAGAGATGTCTTTGGCCCTCTTCAGATTAAGAAAAAAGATAGAGAGAGAAATTATGTTCTAGTAGTTTGCTGTGTTTTATTTTGGGCATCTCATATTTGGAAGTGCCCAGCATTGTTAATATTTTATACATTCAAATTACGGCTGCTGTTGACTTCAGTTGCTTTGGTAAGTTTTCAGCTCAGAAGTAAATTGGGCATTGGAATCAAATAAGGCCTTTGAGAAACTTGCAATTAGTAACAGTGAATGAAAAAATTTCTTTAACAAATATACGAGTGGTCATATTGGAGCGCTGCAGCAAGTGCAAGATAAGAATTCAGTTTTGTAAGTCAGCACTGAAATGCCTTTACTATAAGGCCATCCTTTATGTCCTGCCAGCCTGTGCCTCCTTTGCTTCCTAGCTGTGCAGCTCTTGCAGGAGAAGTTGCCGCATCAAAAATAAACATGAATGGGGAGAAGGCACCTGTGTATAATGGTATAACTGAAGACTGCCTTAGGCCATAGGCACAGAGTATGCTAGACGGACATTTTTCCTTTGATGTATATATTATATTCCTATGCATACTGAAGATGCAGGGAAAATTACAGCTAATGACATGGAAATTAATTTATTAAGAGCAAGATGGATGCTTTCAATGTGTGTGTTGTCATACCAAACAAAATAAATGTACGCCCATCCCACTCACTGCCTTCACGAAAGATGATTTTCTTCCCATATTTGGTAAGACTCAACCAGTCCTTTCAGGATGAACTAGATCTGTTAGAACTAAATCATGCATGGTATAATCGCAGTTCAATTGACTGCAATATAGTTGTATTTGCTTAACGGAATGGACTTTTTGGCCTATTTTTAAATTCAATTATAGGACTCATGTCCCTTACCATTTTGGAATTTCTTCTTAAAGCTGTCTTTTGAAATAGATAATAGCTTGTTTTAGTTTATAGTTTTTAATTATAAATAAAAGACAAGCACAGAATATTTAAACTATAGGGGCATACTGCTAACAGAATACTCTTTTTTGTCTTGGGAAGTGCTTTTGATCAATAGATTTCAAAGCAGCTCAAAAAGTCAATTCAAACTAATTTACTGTAAAGTTCTTTTGTCTTATATGTTTCACATACAATGAAACATCTTTCACTGTTAATGTTTTATAGTGCTACTGTAATTGTACCAATAAAATGTATTGGTGTTGTAAATAATAGGATGTCCTATATAATTGGCTTTTAATTGCTGTTGTTCAGACCACATTTATAATACAATTTTGTTTGCCCCTCAAGGTCTTTCATCTTTGTAAATGAGTTACGTGACATAGTTCTGAAATCTTGACATTCCTTTTGAATAGTGCTGTCACTTTTGGGTAAGGCATAGGAAGTAAAGAAAAGGCATAGCTGAATCTGAAGTGAAAATGTAAGCATTTTCCAACAGGAAATCATTTTACAGAAATTACTCAAAGTAATTGGTTTCCATGCCACAAATTCTAATTTAGTATTGGGGGGAAAGATCATACTTTTAAACCGTGTATTGCTCTGCAAGCATGACTGAGTTTAAATGTGTGTGCCTATATAGATGGACGAATGCTATTGAAAGCACTTATTTTTGTTGGTGGAACTATTTTTCCTCTCTCTTTATAAGAGTGCCACTGGGAAAATTAACCCCAGGTTTCCAGCTCTTGAACTGTGTTTTTTGCAGTCAAATATTTCAGAATTGTTGCTTGATAAATGTGAGATAAGCTAAATTCAGTTCGATAGACTAGAAAGGAACTACTGGGTTTGGTATGGTACTTGTGATGGTCAGGTGTTAGACGATTCCTTTCTTGTCTGGGAAAAAGAGTTACTATTAGCACTCCATGAAATTCCAGATGATCAAGATATTTGGTCTAGTCCTACTACAATTTCCATTTAAAGATTTTTAGTTTACAGCTTTTATTACAAAGTACTAAGGGGGTTTGACATAAATATACACACACTCTCTCTCTCTTTGGATATATACACATGCATAAATACCATTAATCAATGCAATGCTTTTTTCATTTCTCAAAAGAGTTTTTGAACTTTAAAAGTTCTCGTACAGTATTGTGGTGAGAGGTGATTAAAATGTGCCACTCCTTTACAGTAATGGCTAGGCTAAGATCCTGTAAATCCCTGGACCCAAGTTTGTACAAGTTTATGTGTTTTACTGAAGTCAATACACATTTTTTAAATGTCAAACATTAAATTGCTATTTAATTTGTGTAAGTTACAGTATTTTTCCTAGTTTAAATGAGTTTTGCATTCACAGCAGGATTCTGATGTTTGTGGATGTCATAATTCAAAGTCCACTTAACTGCAGAAGTTCTGAATGGCTTCAGTCACCACCAAGTAGAACAAAGAACTAGCTAGCAGCAGTGAATTCAGTTGAGGTTGAGAAACAAAATGCACAAAGCAGAAAATTATCTAAAAAAGCCTTCAACTACAGAACAGGATATACGAGTCAAGCAGTATAAGCCTTCTGCTTCCAGCCATTCTGCCCAGGTGCATGTGTTACAGTTCTAGCCCATTTATTTGCTGTGTGGTTATTCCAACAGAAGGGCGTCATATGACTCAGGTCTGTATTTTTTAACAGAGTTCTGATATATTGAGATAGTTTTATATTAGAATATTAAGTTTTATGGGGAAATTTTAAGGTAATTTTGAATAATTACATTTTTTAGTCCTTGTGATTTAATGTGGACAAGTTTAGTGGCACAGAGATAAGCTTGATACTCTTGGAAGAGTTTGCATAGACAGCTCACTGCAGTTAGTTTAAATTCCAGGCGAGAGTTTGTTTTGAGAATTAGAAATACTGTATTCTATTTGATATTTGGCTGAGAAATATCATTATTCCTTACAAGCAATCTGTAAAAACAAGTCAGGACTTCAGAAACTGGGTTGTGTTCCTAGCGTGTGCCGGAATTTTCCTCCCACACTTGCCTCTCTTAATTTACTCCCCTGCATCCAGGTTTTTCCAGCCAATTTTCTTTGGTTTCCAATAGATTAATAAAGCGAAAATTCTGATCCTTCAGCTGACTTAACATTTCTACTGTCTCCATGATGCCATGTTCTTTGTTGATGAGATAATTTGCATAATGTTGTCCATCATGCTTTAAACTATGGTATTGCTGTTCAGTATTGCTGATTTGGCTGGTTCCTTTGCTCTAAACAGGTTGTCTCCCGGTTCTGATGTCTACGTCACAGTTTCATCCATTGCCTTAGCGAGATCACAACAGTGCCGTAATTCTCCAAGCAACTTATCATCCTCAAGTGAGACTGGCTCTGGTGGGGGCACATACAGACAAAAGTCTATGCCAGAAGGGTAGGCACCAGACTATTTTAATTTTTTTTTTTTTTTTTCAAGGCAGGTTTTTTGTTCTCGGTTTCATTTGTTGTAATGTATATTAAATTAGAGGAGTGCTTACCCAGCCTTCTGTCAGCTATTGTTTACACACATTAAAATATGTTTTCAAATATCACTGTTATGCTTCTTGAAAAAGTGAGTTTTAAAAATCCACTGTTTACACCTTTTCCCTTTGCAACCTGACCTCTCTTTCTGATCCTAATCTACAATTGCTCAAGTTAAAATGCAAAGGGACCTTTATGTATTTAAAAATCTTGATTAAAAGTACTGGTTTCATGTTGCAAATTGATTCATTTCACAGGTTTAGATTCTAAAATAAAAAAGCAATAGGTTTGGGACTTTGCAGTCTGTGCTAATAGTTGAAGCAAAGTGCAACTTAGTGCAACTAAGACTTCGGATGTGTAGGCACGAAAGTGCTAATTAATCCAAACTAGCATCTTCTACTCATATTCACAGTCATCCTGTTTTAACGCACTCTGCCAACTTTCCAGAAATCTTCAAACTCTCTGAAGTGATCCAGTGTCACCCTAAGGGGCAACTTGCAGAGAAAGGAATTAAATCTGTATCATTTTCAGAGAGCACCGAAAGAAACAATAAATGAAGCATCTCCAAGAAGGGAAAAAATAACTGTCAGCAGGAGAGCTACCACATTCCAGTCACTTCCCATAGAGAAGATAAGGGGGTGAAACTGCTAATAGTTTAGACTGCAAAGCTTCCTTCTGAAGTTGTCTTCAGTATGTTGTAGGTTATTGTGTGTAATTCATTCTGGTTTGGGTCTTTTATAAAATAGAAGTATCTTTTTCTCTATGTTAAAAAAAAAAATCTATTATGAGTAAGATAAATATCATTGTCAAGAAATGCTTAGCACAAGGCACTATCTTTTGCCTGTTTAGGTGCCTCTGAGGGGACACTGCTCTTTGTCAGTCCAGAGAATGCTGTTCTGAGCATGTGTTTGAACAAGTGCCACTTCTTGCTCCAGAGCACTGAAGATTTTTCTTCCCTGACTTTCTCCTTGCAGTTCAGTTTGAGGTTTTCTGAAGAGACTCTCTTTACTCTGCTGTGCACCTTCTTGAAGGCTTTGATTCATGAGACTATCAAGCCTGTTCAGGTCATTATTTAAGTTTGTGCTTAAGTCCTACTGATATTAGGAGACTTGCTCTAAATCAATTAAACTTCGCTGTAAGGAAACTAAACAGAAGTGTGTCCAGAGCTTGGCAGCTGGTAAAAGCACTTACGTTCACATACTGCATACTTCCTGGCTTACTTGTGCCAGCAGCACTTATGTGTTGCCTTGAATTCTGAAGAGCAACTTGTGCTCCCAGTATCTTGTCTGCTCTTTTCCAACTACGTCATTTACTCTACAAAAAAGGTATTGCTGCCATACGTCCTTAGACCATCACAACCATAACTGCTTGTGTAGGAAGGAATTTTCAGACACTCTAGGGTTTGAATTGGCCTCAGACCACACCAGCACCCGTCCCAACCCTTTTCCGTCTTTTAATTTAATTATACACATATGTTCATGACAGCATTCTTTGAGCATTTTGCAAGTTCAGCAGAGACATGTCCTAGAAACCTTGCATATATGGTCTTTTTGGTTTTGAAGTTTTAATTCTGAGCAAGGAAACACTGTTTAAATTGAATAATTAAAGAAATAATTAATACATGAACTTTGCATGTTGCTTATTGTATGCTTTTTTAAAAAAAGAAAAATTACTTATTAAACTCCAATTATTTGACTATTATATCCTATTCTTATAGGAAAAGCACTTTGCCTCCCATACTGTCCTTGTGCACATGAATCATATTTACTGAGGACTTTCCAAACATTTTCTGCCAGGCTAAATGGAAAGGATGACAAATGTAATTATGAAGGAAACTTTCCATTGTCTCAGTAAGCAAAGTAATGTCTGTCACATTACTAAAAGTCATTGCAGTTCCTTGTGCATCTTCTGTTGAGATGTGTCTGAGACACTAGATCCAGGGCAGCTCTGTAGTGATGTTCTATGTACCAGGTAGAGCTTGTCAGCAGCTAACCCATATATGTTTTTAAAACAGGAGAGAGATATTGATTGTAGCATTCAGTTGTTAAGTTGTTGGAGAGCAGGATGGGCTGGAGTAGGTACCTAGCTGAGGGGGCACCATGTCCCGAAGGTAATCTTCTCAAGGTGAGGCTCCAGTGACTCAAAGTGTTCCAGTCCCTGAGATTTCCCAGTGAAGGAAGTCTCAACTGCATAATTTCTGTATACATTTCTTTCTTGTTGCATGATATGACAGATTTGGAAAGTTTGTGAAACTTAAATGACTGGAAGCATGAGTGTGAGTCCAACCTCTGTCTGACATTGGTAAGAGCAATAACTGCTGCCTCTTCTAGATTATTGGTCCATATACTGAGCTGGGTATAGGCAAAAACTTCACTGCCTTCAGTACCATCTAGATTGGTCTTGATGTATATATGTGTGTTTCATATGCTTATCCTGTGTTTACCTGAACATATGTATATGTAATAAATGATTGTAGAATGAAAAATGAAATTCATAAATACTTAAATAATTAGTTTCTTCTTATTGAAACAATTTCACTGTTCTTTTAATCCAGATTGATTTCTCCTTCAGGTTTTTTGGGTTCATTCCTACATACTCTAATGGGCTATATATTCATGCAGCATAGAATATAGCACTACCTATGTTTATTAGTCGTGCTTTTAAATAGCCCACTTCATGTGAAAAAAGAAAAAAGGGGCAATCTAAAGACATTTCTTACTACTCAATTAGTAGAGCAGCGATTTTAATGAAATAAAACTAGAAACGTGGTGGTTTTGTATATCTCTAATCTTGGAAAAAAGATCCCATATAATAAAATATGCCAAATGCAAAATTGGCTACTTTTATACATATGAACATTATGGACTTTAGGTGAGAAGACAGTGCATAGAAAGCAAAATGTTGATGCAGCACAACTTCATCACACCAAGGTTTCTTGATGTTTGGGCTTCTTCTTTTAGATAACAATTTCTAATTATTTTGTCATGAAAAGATATTCTTCCCAAAATACTTTACAAGTCTTAAAGGTCTGAAAATTACCTCAGATTAGTGTTTAAAGTGTTTAGCCTTTTTATGCATCTGTTGAATTGGTACTGAATTAATCGTGTTTAATTTGGGTATTTGATTTAGTGAAATCCTAGCTAGTCTGTGCAAATAGAAAAGGAAAAAGCATTACTCACTTAATGCAAACTCAGTTTAAATTGTTTGTATTCAGAAGGCAGATATATCCAGGTTTTCTTCACTTTTTTTATTCATTAAAGCTTATGTTGGCTATACCAGGGAGCAGTGACCAAAATGTAAGTAGGGTCATGTTTGGGTAAAAATTTAGAAGGCCCAGATTTCAAAATGTGACATTTTGGAGCTGTGCTGCATGTACAAGCATGTTCCAGCTGCTTGTCTTTGAGGATTGGAGTGGGATTTTGTTGTTCCGAGTCTTACAATGTTTCTTTGATGGTTTCATTTAAGTTAACAGATACATGAGGTTTCAGATTTGGTAACCACATTGAGCTTGAGTATTTTATTTACTGTTATTATATTACACTAGAGAAAACTAGAAAAACTAGCAAAACTCCTTGATTTACAGAGAATATATCAGCTTGTCGTAATTACTTTGGGTGTTACTCTATGCATGTATATTTTGGGGAATTTTTTTGCCTTCAATATATTTCTGACAAAAAAAAAATCAGAAATGCGTTATTCTTGACGAATTCTTAATGACTGATCTGCTAATTCTGAACCCAACTATAATTCTTAAAGATTTGAGTGATTTATATGTAATATAGAATCATAGATTTAATTCTTACAGGCTTTTATGCATACAAGGCATGTAGACTTCAGTACGACACAGAGGCACTGTGTGTCTCCTTTGTCATTAGACTGTTCTTCTTGAGTTTGCTCTATCTTTATTGAGCTTTCCAAAATCCATCTGACTAATCTATCAGGGTTTACAAACAAAGTCCATTGAAAACAGTTTTCCTTTTGCTCTGTATGCTTTCTTCTACAGCAATAGGTATATGTATCTCACTGCATTCCTACAGCTGTGTTTAGTTAGTCCACTCAAATTATTTCATGATCAAATAACTTAATAATTTACAGAATTTATAACCCCTAGGTTTTGGGAATCCATAAACAATACAGTTAACTTCATGAATGCTTAATTAAAATATTTGGCAGTGTAATATTGTTCCAAATGAATCTATGTTGTTTGCATATACATCTGCAACACCTAGGTGTGACCTTACTAGTCTTTTGCTTAGAACCCAGGAAAGTGTCTGAGATCCATGGGTTTGCCCCAGCAGACTTCCTGATGCACACTTTGACTAGTTCGAGGTTGTGCTTTCTCAGTTAAAAGGGTTGATCCTTGATATCTTTTCCCAATAAACACACCTCCATTACCTGATGTGACATTTATTCAAACTTTTAAATTTTACTCATTGTGGTCAATTTTCTGTAACCATGTAACAGTCTGGTCACCCTTCTATGTAAACATCTGTGTAAATGAAAACTAATAATTTTATTTCTGGATGGTTTGGTCTGGTTTTTTTTAATTGTATGCACTGTAACCAGACGTTCTTGATCAAATATGCTCAATAAATTAATGTGTACTGTCATCTTGCTTACTAAAGGTGTTAAATGGGTCCTGAGAGCTACCACAAAATTAAATGGAAAAGTGTTATAAATTCTTCAAACAGTTGTTCTATGCATTGCTCTGCCCTGTTGTTTGACACTAGCTTATTAAAAGTGCTATTTTTCCTCTTATGTGAGATTTATGCGTATTTAAATTCGTTATCTCCTTTGTTTTTTGGGGTGTTAAAACAGGTTTGGAGTTAGCCGTAGATCCCCTGCTTCCATTGACAGGCAGAACACACAATCAGATACGGGTGGTAGCGGCAAATCCACATCCAGCTGGCAAAGAAGTGAGGATAGTATCGTGGACCAGATGGGTAGGTAATTAATGCTTTGCAATGAGCAAGTTGTGCTAACCACAAGGTGTCTTTGGTAATGCCTCTCCTCTTAAGCACTATGTTTTCAGAGTCTTTGAAATTTAACCTTGTTCATCAGGATGAATAATTAGATCTGGAGCATATACTAGCTTCTGCAGTCTGTGTCCTTGGAACCTATAAGTATCACCTGAGGAAGAACTGGTTTCAGTTCTTCATTTGACTGTGGGAATAAATCTGCCTTAATGCTCCTACCCTGAAACACTTTGTCCTTTTAGAAGCAGTTGAGTAGTCACACTTAGTAATTTATCTAGCTACTGAGGACTTGTTTGACCTCACCCACTCTCCTAAGTGGCTTGGCTTGGTTTAATTTTTGCTTAGTTGGTCTAAAGTGCTTGTGATGCTCCCTTTCAAATGGTGCTATATAAATACAAATTGATTGATCATTGAAGCTATGAAAATACTATGTGCAAAATGGAAAAAAAATGCAATTAAAGTTTAAATAGTGAAGTAAATCTATAGCTTGGTAATCGCCTTCCACCAGTGTATACATTTTCATTGCACTTGGCAATTAAGCTGTCAGCTGAGGGAACTTATTAACTATATAAAAAAGCTGGGTGTCAAGAATTTGCATTGTTGAGCCTTCATTTGAAGTTTTTGCACATAGACCTTTTGCTATAGCTACGGCTTGACTTGAGTGGATACCAATGAGATTGACACCAAGGCAAGTGTCCTGTCTACAAACAGCATTGATCCAACTTGATGACCATGGTCAAGATTGCTAGATTGTTTTTTTCCCAACTTTGTTACCACAGATTAAGCAATTCCATACTTTCTCTGTTGCACATATAGATCATCATTTTACTGCACCTGTTGTTCTGTATAAATGGACTAGCGTTCAACACAGAATAAGGTTCTGTGCAATCAGCAGGA